TGGAATCAATTGTCAGGCGGTGAAATACAGCGTATTTCACTAGCCATTGCCTTATCCTGTAAACCCGAAGTATTGTTACTTGACGGTACTTATTTTCCCTTGATGTGCATAAATTTATTAATATAAGGAATTAATTTTGCCATGGACATAATTTCAATTTTGAAAGAACCAACCTCAGCGTTAGATCCAACGACCTGCCTTCTAGTTGAAGAATCTCTAAAAGAGTACGCTTGTATCTGGGTTACACATGATGTGGAACAAGAGAAACGCGTTTCAACTCACAAATTTGTACTAAATCCTCGTGTCGAAAGAGATGAACAAGTGCTAGTTCCCATCTAATTGGATGTTGTATCAGGACATTCATTTGTTTAACAGATATCTGGATATTTGATATTATAACGACGGATGTCCTGATCTAGCCTCTAGTCGGAATTTTTGTATTTTATTCTTTTATTATTTGATGAGTTCGTCCTAGATGTAAAACCATGATAGAATTGACCAAACACTAGATTTTGGATAACTTAACGTTTGTTGCAGTATTATTCAGCAATGAGATTCCCAATAGGTTCTCTAATTCCTTAATCGCCTTTTCAGAATTACCCAGTTCAACTTCTTTGGTCATCCAAGACATGTCGAATTGGATTAGTATTTATAAAGGAAAAAAAAAATGATGACTTCAGAATGGTAGTAAACCCACTTATAGTTGTCATTCCCAGCTCCTTTGCCGCTTTCAAATTCCTAATCGAACATAATGAAATAAACAATCATCACCAATTAATTTAATCAATATCAAGACCGATAGACGCACATACATTCCGATATCGTCAAGAAATATAGCATCTTTGGGTTCAATATTTAACTTGCTACAAGCATATGTGAATATCTTCGGATCAGGTTTCCTAGATCACACAACATTAGATCATTTACATGCAGTAAATTGGACGCCTAATTCAGATACCTACCTGAGTCCAATGATACTTGATTCAAAATATTCATCAAACAAATTTTTTAACTCTGTATGCGCATCACCCAATATTTCGATTTCTTGTGAGTCGTCAGGTGAAACTTGGAAATTATTGGTCAACGCGACAATTTTATATTTTTTACTAGCCCTAAGACTTTTTAGTGCCTCAAAAACTACCGGATCTATAACTGTAAACTCAGATATCATCTTTATCAATAATTCTCTGCCATCGATCGTTGTCGTAGCGGGTAGATGAGATTCGTTGATTGCTGTTGAACCTTTAGAAAAACATAACCAATTAATTACCCAGCAATCAAAAGAAATTGTCAATTGGAAACAAATAAAATAGAATTTGAAAATTTACCCTCACGTAGTCGCGTGTATTCGAGATAATATTCTTTGTTTTTAGGGTCCGACAGCTCTTTACCGAATATTTTGTAAAACTCTTGAAGCGAGATTTCTCCACGTTCCAAACGCTATATTGCAAATTGCATAAAAATAACCCGTAGCTCAAAAATCATAAGAGTGTTAAATCCTGTCTACCTGGAATGCACCATTTTCTCCACTTCTCGCACTATCACATTAGTGGGTGCGACACATTAGCATATCTCAAAATAAAAAAATTTTTTAATGATAAAAATACATTCTCTCAACTTGCATCGACACATTAATAAAATTGGGTGGTAAATGATGTTCTTTTTCGTATTCTGCGATTCCGTTAAAAGGCGAACCTACACAAACTCCACCGATATCAAATATTACTGCCTTATAGGAAGTCATTTTTACCAAGAGTGATTTATGATTGAAACGTTAAAATTTTTATTCTAGCAAGATTTATCACGTGTTGTATAGACACCAAATTTTAAATTAAACAGTTTTATAACTAAACTTGTAACCATTGTAATATTACATCCAAATAAAAAATATGTCATTCATTACACTTATTATTCATTTTGTGCACCTTCCTCCCCTTCTTCCTCATCATCACTATCATCACCACCTTCCACTACATTAATTTCAATATCATATTCTAGATCGCATCCCATATATGAGTCTGACATAACGTAAAGTTTTAACGAGTGTTCCCCAGCTTCTAGTGGACACGTGAAGTCCAATTTTACATTCAAAACCTTGTTTAGGGTGATTCGTTTGATACCCAACAACGTATTTTTGGAATCATCACCGAAAACAATCCACCATCCCTCGTCTTTCTTATGAGGGAACCTCGGCGCATA